CCAGCTCCAGCGCAGCCCCCGGCGCAGGGGCGAGGGGGAGCCGAGGAGGCTGCAGGGGGGCAGGTAGGTCCAGCGCCCTGGGGAGCCCCCGGGCTGGGCTGGGGGTCCCGGCATCGGGGCAGCCCCGTGCCCACACTATCCCTGGTCTCTGCTCAAGGCTGCAGGGCCAAAGCTGTCCCCGTGGCCTGGGGGGCAGAGGGGGGGCTGTGAGCTTCTTCCCCTGCAAAGAGCAGCAGGAGGATGTGTGGGGTCCTTTTTCTGATGCCCCCAAGCCCTTTTCTCCCCAGGTTGCTCTACAACCTGCGGTACCTGGGTCGGACCGGCGTTGGGAAGGTGAGGTGATGGGGCAAAGACGTGCCTAGGGGTAAATTGTCTCTTCTGGGTTTCTCCTCACGTGGGTTATTCCCTCCTTCCCACTCTGTTTCAGTATGGTGGCAAAGAGGTGCTGGACTGGGCCATCCCCGCCGTGCTGGAGAGGCACCGGGCAGCGCGGGTGAGCGACGGGGCTGAGGGCATCCCGGGAAGGGCTCGGTGGGAAAACTGCAGGGAAATAGGGTCCCTGCCCGGGGATGTTTTTGCCTACGGGCTCCAGGTACACTTGGCCTGGTTGAGTATTTGACAACCCTCCCCACCCCTGTCGGGTATTTTTCTTTTTCTTGTTAGAAGCATCTCTGCAGTCAGGATAGGAGAGTGCAATAAGGGAAAAAGAAAATACAACCACCTGCTTTCTTGTACCTGGAAGCCTGTGGGGAGGCTGAGGCTGGTTCCAGGGGTGCTGCAGGGCTCAGGACGCTGTTGCTTGAGGTTTCGGGGGGTTGTTTGTGAAAAGCTTCGAGTGTGAGAGCACTGGGAGGTAGAAAAAAAGGGCAGCACAGAGAAAACTCCTTGAAAAAGCTGTGTCTGACCGCACATCATCACCTCTGCTCTTGAATAATCTCTCTCCTGTAAGTGTCTTATTAAAAATCGAGCTCAGACGCTGTGATGATCGGGGCTTCTTCCCCCTCCATCCCCCATTCAGGAGGTTTTGTTTGATGTGATGGAAGCAGAAGTCCTCGTACAGGAGAAGACCTCTTCCAAGGTGAGCGAGCGATACCCAAAGTCCGGCTGACTCCTGAGGGTGCCGATCTGGGGGTGGGGGGAGCCCGGCTGGAGGGGCGGTGGGGCCAGTTTAAACCAGGAACGGGGATGACAGGGGCTGACCGTGGCCCCCCCAATGCTGTCTCCCTCCTGTCCCTCGCGCAGGTCCTGTGCCGGTACCCCTACCCCACCATCTCCTGCGTGGGACGCTGCACGGACAGCAGCAATTTATTCGCCTTCTGCGTGGGGTGAGTGCTGCCCGTGGGCGCTGCGAGGGGGGATGCAGAGGGATGCGGGTCTTAGAAAATAAACAAGCGACGTCCAGACCCGCTGCGGGGTCTCCAGTGCGGTTACAAGCCAGGGCTGGGCTCTCAGAGCCGCGCTCTCTGCCGGCTAATGGATGTGTTTCCATTTTTAGCGCTTCCCCGGAGAGCCCTGATGGGAGCACGTTCGACTGCTTGGTGTTTGCATCGAGCTCTGA